TGGATGAGAATAGGACAGAAATAGTAAAACAATTTTGAAGATGAACAAAAGCGACAGCTATGAAGATAATTATGATTATATTGGTGCCAAGTAATATGCAGTTCATTAACAGACTTTCATATACATGAAAATTTATGAAATGACAGAAATAGAATTGTAATTAATGGATAAGAATAAATTATTCAATAAAGAAATACTGATATTAGAAAATTATTATCTTATATGATCTTTATTACTTTCAAGTACATTAAATTTGAAATGTAAAGAATAATATTTTATGGAATTTGTACATGGAGAGAACACAGATTGTGGAATGTACTTAGAAAGAAATTTTATTTTTCCTTGAAACTGTCCCTACAAATATACTTCATAGGCTCTTTGCCTCCTTGTCCCCTTGAGTTAAAAACATGGCTAAATGTTCTGATATTTCTGGTTACTCCCTAGAAAAAGAATAGACTCTGTTCATTCACATATATGTATATATACTTAGTCCTGTGATGATGATTGATATAGTTTGAATATTTGTCTCCTCTGAATCTCATGTTGGAATATAATCCCCAGAGTTGGAGGTAGGCCTGGTGGGAGGTGTTTAGGTCATGGGGAGGTATTTCTGAATCGCTTGGTGCTGTCTTCCCAGCAGTCAATGAGTTCTCGCTTTGAGCCCATGCCTAGATCTGGTGATTTAAAAGTGTGGCGTCTTCCATACCATTGTTCTTGCTCTTGTTGTTGCCATGTGATGTGCCTGCTGCCCCTTTGTCTTCCATTATAATTGTAAGCTTCCTAAGGTCTTCACCAGGAGCACATGCCAATGCCGTGCTTCCTGTGAAGCCTGCAGAACCATGCATGACCAATTAAACCTCCTATCTTTATAAATTGCCCAGCTTCAGGTATTTCTTTATTGTGACACAAAAATGGACTAATACAATGATGATGACAAAAATCCTCAAATACCATTCAAACATAAAGCTTCTCCTTCCTTGCTTGTGCAAACTGAAGGAAAGAGACTTTTAATGAGAAACGGGAACATGATTAGTTTCTTTTTCATGACTCAAGAACCCCCAAGGTGATTGGCCATCCTTATTTATCTGGAATACATTCTGAGGGAGTTTCTGGAACATGGAAGTTTTAGTTTTAAAAATGATCACCCATTTTCCACCTTCCTCTGCATTTACTTGCTGTAGCTTCTGACTCTTCAGAGTACAACTCTGAAATGAGTAGGGCTCATTTGACTGTCTCAACTTAACATAGAGTTTTCATTTACCATGACATACATTTAAAGACAACCCTTCTCAAAGTTGCTTAGTGGATTCTTTGGTGAAATAAAATTCCCGTTCCACATGTTAGACATTTTTCCTCTACTTGAGGTGACCATTTATGTCCTCTAGCTCAGGTTTCAATTCTTTGTGATCTGCATTCACTCAGATTGGGAGACTTCCATTGTCTCAACAAGTTCACATTTTTGGCAAAGTCCCTTTAAGATAGTCTCAAATCAACTTTACTTTTTGTCCACTGTGATGGCTGCCAATTACAACTAGTCTCTCTCTTTTTTGCAGCAGTATTTAAAAACCCTGTTAACAATTTTTTGAACAGAGATTTCCTTCAAGAATATGAAAGGCATTAATCTTCTGTTTGTTATAACAATTAAAAATTTGTTATTTCCAGATAGGTGTACCTAAGAATAACAGATAATAGTCATAATACATCAAGAAATATATTTCTTCCAAGACAATGGAAAATGTATTTTTAAAATTGTGGTGAATTTTAAGGGGGTTTTAGTTTTATAAAGGAGAATTTAAATTGTCAAAGGTCTTCTGGAACATATATCTGCCTCATAGGGTTGTAGAAATTAGAAATAAGAACAGTGAAGTACCTGGTGCATAGCAGGCACTAAGTCATTTATTATTAATTTCAGAGTCCTTCCTCCAGGGAAATTTTCCACCAACTTCAGCTTCTAAAATTATACTTTGGAAGACAATTAATTTTAGTTTCTTATTTGATTTAGCCTTTAATTCACATTCATTCAATTTTCTTAGTTGTGAAAGCAGTTAAGTAGAAACAACAAATAATTGACAAAAGGAAGACTATCTCTTACATTCAATATATTACTGTACTACATTTGCTCCTGAATTTCTCCATGATTCTGACATTTCACTGACTTTGGACTGGGAATATCAGTTTAGCCATGTGGTAAAACTCTCTTCAGGGAGTTCTGACTGGTCAATATTGAAATTTCTGTATGCCCTTCATCTCATGATAAGATCTGAGTATAAATTATGGCTTTGTTTAAAACAGAAGTACAACTTTGCTCAAGGTAAGCAGCCCTGGACTCAATTTGAAAAAGATTGAATTGAAAAGCCAAAATGTGTTTCTTTTCTTGCCCCTCTTTCCTCCAACAAAGAAAATCAGAGTTGAAAAATGCTCTAAACTCATTCTTCCTAATGCTGAGCATGAAATTTACCTTTGTGAAAAGTGAGAAATCAATAGAGATGACAAGGGAAGTTATAATTTTAATAGCACTCTGGGGAATGAGAGGTGAGTTTGTGACCATTGGCATCACAGATTGGCATGGCAACCTGATATTCTGTTTCTTGCCCACAGATCCACCACACAGCCACATTCCCTACACAAATGTCCTCAGGAAAAAATTATAGAAATATATATCTAAGAGCATGCCTGTGGTATAGAGCTTAGACCACACTTTAGGACCAGTCTGACTTGGGTTTGAATCCTGACTTTGCCACTTTTTACTGAACGTGATAAACAGAGATTCCCATTTTCAAAAGCTTGTGTGGTAGAAGCCAAGCAAAACTTCAAGTTGAGGAAGAGTTGTGGGAAGAAGGTTAATAAAAGAGAGCTTGAACATGTTTATAACCTGAGGGCCAGGAGAATTTGAAGAGTGTGCAGAGGGAGTATTTACTTAACATTTCTTGTGTGAAAAGCAGGCACAACACAGATCTCTTCAAGGTTGATATTGGGATTAAACTGAGTATTTTATTTGTATCGTATATAGGTATAGATATTCTTTTAATATATTTTGTGTTACTATTACATAATGGTACACACAAAATAGCAACAGAAGTTTATTTCTGACAGTTCTGGAGGTTTGGAAGTTCAAGATCAAAGTGGTGGCATCTGGTGTCTGTTAAGAGCTGGATATCTACTCCCAAGATGGTGCCTTGAATGCTATATCCTCCAGAGCGGGGAATACTGTTCCTACATGGCAGAAGAGCAGAAGAGAAGAAACCCACTTCTGCGAAGCCCTTCTTATGGTGGCATTCATCCATTCATGAGGGCTCTCCTCATGACATTAACACTTCTCATTAGACTCCACCTCCCAACACTGTTGCTTTGGAGATTAACTTTCAACACGAGTTTTGTGGGGGACAAAACCTTTGAAACCATAGCATACACACACACACACACACACACACACACACATATAGACACACATACATATTTTTCAAACCACAACATGCACATATACATATATGTATGTGTATGTGTATATATATGTGCTGTGGTTTGAATGGCTTTTTGTGTGTGTGTGTGTATTTATGTGTGAGTATACATATATGCATACATATATAACATACATGTATTTGTATATATTAATATGTACATATAAAAATATGTAATAGGCATATTATATATTATATATAATGTTTATATATAAAAAATGCATTACAGAATAGGTACTGATTACCATGATATCTCATATCTGTATTCAGCAAATTATATCTGGAAGCAAAACTGGAAGTATTTCTGGTCCCTCGTCTGCCACAATTGCAATACTTATATCCTTGTAAATATTAAAAGAGAATATATGTAAAGTGTTTAAGACAATGGCTGGGACAAAATAGGTGTTAAATAAATTACAAACGTTTTATTAATTGAGCATATGACCCATTTTAAGCATGCATGATGATTTCCTCAAAATTATTACTCAATGAATATTGTTGCTATTTACACAAGAACCAAAGAGAATCTTATTTTAGGTTTTGTATCAGTTATAATAACTAGGTTATATTGCAATGAAAACATACCCAAAATTTCTTCAAAATAATATAAAACAGCAAAGTTTATTATTTACTCATAGCATATGTCTTTTGCATGTCAGTCGTGGGGGTGTGGTGGGAAGTTCTGCTTTCTGTCATCCTCTGGGACTCAAACTGATAAAGAGATGCTTCACAGTTGAGAAAGCTAAGAGTCCCAGTAAAGGAGTAGTGATATGAAGATTTAAACATTGTCAAATGCTTTCACCTGTAAAAGATAGTTGTCTTTACTCACAGTCTATGAGCAAAAGAAACTCACTTGACCATGTTCAACCACAAGATCTCTGGGAAATGTAATCCTCTCATGTCCTTAGAGTAGAAGAAAACCAAACGGTGGTGCATAGTGATATCTACTACAGTAGGATAAGGCACTTACTGAGCTAAACAAATAAACAAATGACAAATTAAACATTTCATTTATATGGAATAGCTTTCTTGTCATTTTACATAATGGAATCAATTTTACCTTTATTAATGCTTAAAATGAAATGCTTAACTACTCAAACTGGAGTAAATTTTGCAATAGTCTCTCAATTCTGTTTTAATTCATTTTCCCTTAAATTCCATGAGTCTATTTTTCGTATATTTTATACATTAGATCCTTATTATTCGTAGATTCCACATTTTCAAATTCCCCTATTTACTAAAATTTAGTTATCCTCCCCAGATCAATTCTCATAGAGCTAATTTGAAGACACATGCAGAGCAGTGAAAAATTTGAGTTGCTCAATGCGCACATTCCCAGCTGAGGCGGAACATCGCAACACTGCCTTCGTGTTTCAGCTGTCATACTGTAGAAACATGCTCTTTTTGTGGTTTATTCAGGGCCCATTTTTTTTTTTTCCATTTTGTACATTTTCTTGATGATTTTGCCTGTGGCTTAATTTACAGATATACAATTAAACAAAATAAATAATATGCAAATTCCTACTAATTGAATATTTTTTTCCTGGTGACTTGTACTTTAAAATTACATGTAAGTTTTAAACAAAAGCCTTAAACACAAATAATTGAATATGGTCACATATGTTAATAATAGGACACAGTTTAACATTCTGACAAAACATAAAATAGCATCACAAATGAGATACAAATGAAATAATATCATATATGTATTTGCCTGAATCCTAAAAGTCAAAAATAGATATCTTTACATAATGAATCCTAATATGGATTTATATAAATTTTACGAACTGAGTGGTATCAAAGAATCATTATGTACAATGCTAAAACCAAAATTTCTGTGTTCAAAACCTTATTTTCTTGAAGTTAGATACCATTAAGAAAAAGCTGTGTGGGCTTTCTGGTTTTTAAATTTAGGTTTCAGTGTGTGATTCTTCTCTATTGCAAATAAACAAATGAAAAGTGAGCTGCTGGCATCAGGAAGAAGGAGAATTGTTCTTCCCTTCTCCCTCAAGGTATTGTAAATAAGGGAAGGAACTGGCTTTTAGGGAATAGGCCTTGCTACACTGTCAGTGTATTACTTTGGGGTCCATATGTGTTTTTTTTTTTTTTTTCTTATATGAGAGATCCTAATTCCTTCCTTTATCCTTTTCCATTAACTAAAACTGGAGATGTTATGGAAACAACAATTTATACAATAAGGGCTGGCATGTTAGGAATGACCATCTCTGAATTCCCATAACATGGCAGACAAGTTAATCCAGGAGATTACAAACTGAGCTGGATGCAAATCTTGTGAATGCCCACCCTCATAATTACATCAGGAAAGGTGTTAGGCAGTGCAGCCAGTTCTCGTTAATCAACAGTATTCTATAATCCTCACTTTAGCTTCACTTCATACTAGTAAAAGAGCATTTCCATACCTCTCACAGTTAACGGGGCATTCTCATACTTTCTTTCTAGTTTGTGCCTCTAATCAGAAGAATATTGGTGATATGACATGCCACAGTTATTTGTGACAAGAAGCCATGGATCCTTTCATTCTCTGCCCCCTCCACTTGTATCTATTGATCTATTTATTTATCCATTCATCTATATTCTTGTTATTATCTTATAGACAGGAGCCTTAAAGAAAAGACTTGATCATTATTTCAGGTTAAAAAATGAGCAACAATCCCCCTGGTCATGAAATTATAATGCAAGTGTCTTCTCTATTAAATTGCTCTCAGGTAATAATTTAGAGAGAAATTGGCACACACCTTACAAATGGTTTTCTATTTTTAACTATATCTCCCTTATGGTACCTGGGTGGACTTTGTGCTCATTAGTCTTTGGCTCCTACCAATGTGTGATAAACCTCTGCACAAGATGCTGGGGGAAAATCTAGCCTTTATGTCTGCAGCCTAATGAGATTTAGATCCAAGAGATGAGTACATTCGAGGAGTCAAAATGCTTCTGTGTCAGAATTTTATGACAAGAGAAAAAAGGTGGGACACTGGTTATTTTTTGGGACATCAGCTACTGATTTGTGAACTTGATGAAAGTTATTTTAAATGTTGATTGTTAGGTTATAATGTCCCCCACCCCCATTTTCATTAGAAATGTCATTTACACGTTGTTACTTGACACACAGTAAAAAGTGTGGAGTTTTTGAATAGTTAAAAAAGAGGATTGTTCCACAGGGGCCACTGTAAGATCTGTAACAGAGCTCTGCTGAAGGTATTTTACTCCTTGATTCCTGCAGTGATAAACCTAGGTGGGTTTTTAGAAATTATTCTAAGAAGAATAAATCATAAGAAAAAGGAAAAAGAGTAGTACTGGTGTGACCTTCAGTCATCCGAAAGTGAGTTACTGTTATCAGGAAGAAAGAGAAGAGTTGTAGAAAAGCCTAATGAACTGCTGACTTGAGACTTGGAGAGCCAAGAAACGTATCTGAGGCTAATGATGTGGTGAGGATGGAGAGATTAGGAACCCTGAGCAGGTCTCAGGGCAGATGATGTATCCAAGGAAACTGTTTATTTGCCAACCTGTGGGAAAGATATGGAAGCCATTTAAAGGTTGATATTTTCTGTAATAAATTTCTACTAACAGTCTGCAGATGAAAAGACCTATTACAGTATGTTATTGTCAACCCATTAAATTTTATTCTAAGCCTGATTTGGAAGACTGCTTGAAAAGAGAAGCATCAGTTTTCCAGTAAGAAGTAAATGGAGGTAAGATGAACTTACCTACCCTCTTCCTTATTCTTCAAACAGTCGTCAAGGTCAGGCAGTAAGTATCTGGATGGAGGATACAACTATGACAGCATCTCAAAGAGAAAGCATTGTGCAGTGGCAGGTTATGGGTTTGGACTTGGTGTAAACAGGAGCCAGGTTTGAATTCTGGGTCTGTAACTTTCAAAATGCTCTTTGAGCTTCAGATTCCTAATGGCTGAAATGGGGTTAACAACATTGACTTCACATTATTGTGAAGAATAAATATTAGATGAGCCCATGCATTTAAAATATGAAGTAAAATGCTTCATCTAGAGAAGGTACTTGGTTAGAGGTTGCATTTACTATTATTTACTTCATCTGTGTCACATCATGTGTTCAACAATTAGAAGTGTAACTCAGAATCTCCCAGAAAGTGAAACTGACATTTGTATTTTGATTCTAGAGATTCTAATGCACCCAAGGGTTAAGAACGTTGGTCTTGGGGTTTGTGATTGATGCAATTTCCTTGGACCTGGGCTACACCCACCTGGAAATATCAGCTGATAGGAAGCCCTTGGGATGTTGCAGTGGGTGATGGGGAGCCCCTTAATGCCTCTCTGGATGGCTGGTGTGAAGTCATGAAGATAACAGAGAAATCTACATTCTCCCTCTAAAAAATGTACCCCTCAAATGCAGAATAATAATATTCTTTGAGTGTCTATTTCTAAAGATTTCCCCTAATATTTGCCTTGAAGTTATTTTTTTTCCTAAGACTATTTTTGCGTGTTAAAAGCATGGAATGAAGTATGACTTTTTTTCTAAGGGCCCTGGACCCCTATGTCATCTCTGTCTTTGTCTGTCCTAATATACAATTTAGTTGTTGTTGTTATTGTTGTTTGTTTGTTTGTTTTTAGATGGAGTTTCACTCCTGTCACCCAGGCTGGAATGCAATGATGCCATCTCAGCTCACTGCAACCTCTACCTCCTGGGTTCAGGCGATTTTCTTGCTTCAGCCTGCTGAGTAGCTGGGATTATAGGCTCCCACCATCACACCCAACTCATTATTGTATTTTAGGTAGAGACGAGGTTTCTCCATATTGGCCAGGCTGGTCTTGAACTCTTGATCTCAGGAGATCCACCCACCTCAGCCTCCCAAAGTGCTGGGATTACAGGCATAAGCCATTGCTTGGAACTCTGAGGGTTAACCTATTAAGCTAGTTCAGCACAGTAACTGAATCTAAAATTTCTAAAAAAGAGCTGTTAGAATTTAATGCCTCTCCTCTAGCAAAGGCATTGAATATTATATAATTTATGCCTATGAGTGATGGTTTGTGTTCTCATTTACAAACTGCCAACATAACCACCCATCTCTAAAGCTTTTTGTGTCTTTTACCCAGACAGAAATAAATTAAGATAGCTGCAGTGGCAGTGGGAATGGGAAGGAGAAGATGGATTCATGACCTATTTAGAGGATACAATTGACAGGAATTGACTAGAAAGGAGAGTGAGTATTGAGCTTAACATTCAAATTTCAAAATTGTGCAACTAGATGGATAATGGTCATAATTCACTAAAATAGGACCCAGGACCAGGAGCAGATTTTTGGTTGCATTATTTAAATTTAGATAAGTTATGTTAAATATAAAGTACCAAATGGGATGATTGGTAGGTAATTGTCCACATGATTTGGGGCCAAGAAGTCAAGCCTAGATTAATAATCTAGAGAACCTGAATTACACATATCAAGAGGATTTTGCAATGTGCAATTAATTGTATATATTTAACTGCTAGAACATGTTGTTATAATATTAGACACATTGTGTGTATTGTTTTTTAATTTGTTTAAAAAATTTAATTTTTAATTGTTATGGTACATAGTAGGTACATATATACTTAGGCAGTATATAAGATTTTTTGATACAGGCATATATTGTATCATAATCACATCAGGGTAAATGGGGCGTACATCTCCTCAAGCATTTATCATTTTTCATGTTATAAATATTTAAAATTTTACTCTTTTAAAATATACAATAAATTATTGTTGACTATAGTCACCCTATTGTGCTATACAGTACTAGATCTTATTTGTTTTATCTAAATATATTTTCATACTCATCAACCATTCCCACTTTCCCTTGCCCCCACACACCACTCTTCCCAGCCTCTGGTAACCATCATTCTACTCTCTATTTCCTTGTGTACATTTTAAAACATTTTTAGCTCCAGAAATGTGAGAACATACAAAGTTTATCTTTCTATGCCTGCCTTATTTCAATTTAGTATAATGTCTTCCAGTCCTTCCATGTTGTTGCAAATGATAATATCTTATTCTTTTATATGGCTGAATAGTGTTCCATTGTTTATATGTACCACATTTTCTTTATCCATTCATCTGTTGTTAGGCACTTAGATTGCTTGCAAACCTTGGCAACTGTGAATAGTGCTGCAATAAACATGGTAGTGCAGATAACTCTTTGACTTACAGATTCTATTTCCTTTGGACAAACAGCCAGTAATGGATTGCTGGTTTACATGGGAGTTTTATCTTTAGTTTTCTGAGGAAACTTCATACTGTTTTCCATAGAGGCTGTACTAATTTACATTCGCACTAATGGTGTACAAACATTCCCTTTTTTCCACATTCTGGTCAACATTTGTTATTGCCTATCTTTTGGATAAAAGCGATTTTAAACTGAAGTGAGATGGTATCTCATTGAAGTTTTGATTTGTGTTTCTCTGATAATCAATAATGTTGATAACCTTTTCATATATCTCTTTGCCTTCTTTTCTCAAAAGAAGATGTACAAATGGCAAACAGGTATATGAAAAGATCTATTTAGTTCTTTTGCCTTTCAGTTGAAATATTTGATTTTTTCCTATAGAGTTGTTTGAGCTCCTTATATATTCTACTTATTAATCCCTTGTCAGATGGATAGTTTGCAAATATATTCTCCCATTCTGTGGGTTATCTCTTCGCTTTGTTGATTGTTTCCTTTGCTGTACAGAAGCTGTTTAACTTGTGATTCCATAAATCAATTTTTTTGGTTTGGTTACCTGCGCTTTTGTGATATTACTCAAGAAATCTTTGCCCAGACCAATGTCCTGGAGAGTTTCTCCAATGTTTTCTTTTAGTAGTTCCAGAGTTTGAGGTCTTAGATATAAATATTTAATTCATTTTGATTTGATTTTAGTATATGGTGAGAGATAGGAGTCTAGTTTCATTCTTCTGTACATGGATATTCAGTTTTCCCAGCACCATTTATTGAAGAGACTGCCATTTCTCCACTGTATGTTCTTTGCACCATTGTTGAAAATGAATTCATCATAGATGTACAGATTCATTTCTGGGTTTTCTATCATGTTCTATTGATCTTTGTGCCTGTTTTTATGCCAGTACCATGTTGCCTTGATTACTATAGCTCTGTAGTCTAATTTGAAGTCAGGTAATGAGATTTCACCAGTTTTATTATTTTTGTTCAGGATGGCTTTGGCCTTCTGGGTCTTTTGTGTGTCCACATAAATTTAATTATTATTTTTTCTATTTCTGTGAAAAATGTCTTTGGTATTTTAATAGCATTTCCATTGAATCTGTAGATTGCTTTGGGTATCTGTAGATTGCTTATGGACATTTTAACAATATCGATTTTTTCCAATGCATGAACATGGAACATCTTTCTATTTTTTTGTGTCCTCTTTAATTTTTTGCATCAGTGTTTTATAATTTTCATTGTAGACATCTTTCACTTCTTTAATTAATTCATAGATACCCAATTTTATTTTTAGCTTTCATAAATGGAATTACTTTCTTGATTTCTTTTTCAGATTGTTTGCTATTGATATATAACAATACTACTGATTTTTGTATGTTCATTTTGTATCCTGTAAATGTATTGAGTTTATCAATTTTAATAATTTTTGGTAGAGTCTTTAGAATTTTCTGAGTCTAAGATCATATCATCTGCAAAGAAGGATACTTTGATTTCTTCCTTTCCAATTTGGATGCCTGTTATATCTTTCTCTTGCCTGTTGCACTAGCTAGGACATTCAATACTATGTTGAAAAACAGTGATGAAAGTGAACATCCTTTTCTTTTTCCAGGTCTTAAAGGGAAGGCTTTTAGTTTTTCCCTGTTCAGTATGGGTCTGTCAAATATGGTTTTTATTGTGCTGAGGTGTGTTCTAACTGGGTTTGTTGTATATGGCTTTTAATGTGCTGAGGGATGTTCCTTTTATACACAGTTTTTTGAGAATTTTTATTATGAAGGGATGTTGAATTTTATCAAATTCTTTTCACCATCAATTAAAATAATCATATGATTGCTGTTCTTTATTCTGTTGATATGATGTATCACATTGATTGATTTGCATATGTTGAAACATTCTTGCATCTCCTGGATAAATGCCACTTGATCATGATGAAAGATATTTTTAATGTCTTCCTGAATTCGGTTTGCTATTATTGTGTTGAGAATTTTTGAATTAATGTTTCTCAGACATATTGGCTTGTAGTTTTATTTTTTGATGTGTTTTTGTCTGGTGTTGGTATATGGGTAATGCTGACCTCATAGAATGAGTCTGGAAGTATTCTCTCCTCTTCTATTTTTAACAATAGTTTGAGTAGAATAGGTATTAGTTCTTTTTTTAAATATTTGATAAAATTCATCAGTGAAGCCATGGGGTCCTGGGATTTTCTTTTCTAGGAGACTTTTTATTATGGCTTTGATCTTATTACTTATAATATATCTATTCATGTTTTGGAATTCTTCATGGTTCAATCTTGGTAGGTTGTATGTGTTTAGAAATTTACACATTTTTTTCTAGATTTTTCAATGTATTGGCATGTAATTATTATAGTAGTCTCTACTGATCCTTTGACCTTATGCAGTATCATTTATAATGTCTTTTAATCTGATTTTATTTGATTGATTTATTTACTTTTTAAATATATATTTTATTGTGTTTTAGGTTTTGGGGTACATGTGAAGAACATGCAAGATTGTTGCATAGGTACATACATGGCAATGTGGTTTGGTGCCTTCCTCCCCATCACCTATATCTGACATTTCTCCCCATGTTATCCCTCCCCAACTCCCCACCCCCTGTTGTTGTCCTTCCCCTAGTTCCCCCCCACAGACCCCAGTGTGTGATGCTCCCCTCCCTGTGTCCATGTGTTCTCGTTGTTCAACACCCACCTATGAGTGAGAACATGCAGTGCTTGATTTTCTGTTCTTATGTCAGTTTGCTGAGAATGATGGTTTCCAGCTTCATCCATGTCCCTACAAAGGACACAAACTCATTGTTTTTGATGGCTGCATAGTGTTCCATGGTGTATATATGCCACATTTTCCCTGTCCAGTCTATCATTGATGGGCATTTGGGTTGGTTCCAAGTCTTTGTTATTGTAAACAGTGCTGCAATGAACATTTGTGTGCATGTGTCTTTATAATAGAACAATTTATAATCCTTTGGATATATACCCAGTAATGGGATTGCTGAGTCAAATGGAATTTCTTAATCTGATTTGATTTATTTGAGTGCTCTTTTTTTTTCTTAGTCTGGCTAAAATTTTGTAAATTTTGTTTATCTTTTCATAAAGCCAACTTTCGTTTCACTGATCTTTTGCATTTTATTTGTTTTCATTTCATTTATATCTGCTCTAATCTGTTATTTCCTTTATTATACCAATTTTATGTTTGGTTTTTCTCTTGCTTTTTTAATTCCTTAAGATGTATCGTAGGTTATTTGAATTTTTTCTGCTTATTTGATGTAGGTGTTTATTGCTATAAACTGTGTTCTTAGTACTGCTCTCTGTGTATCTCATAGATTTTGGCATGTTGTATTTTCATTTTTATCCATTTCAAGAAATTTTAAAATTTCCTACTTAATTCTTTCATTGACCCATTGGTCATTCAGAAGCATATTGTTTAATTTCTATATGTTTGCATAGTTTCAAAAATTCCACTTGTTATTGATATCTAGTTTTATTCTATTGTGGTCAGAGAAGATGCTTGACATTATTTTAAGTTTTTGTAAATGTTTTAAGACTTGTTTTGTGACCTAACATATGGTCTATTCTTGAATATGATCCATGTGCTGAGAAAAATGTATATTATGTTGCCATTAGATAAAATGTTCTGTAAATATCTGTTTGGTCCATTTGGTCTTTGGTATAAATTAAGTCCAATGGCCATTTGATCTTTGGTATAGATTAAGTCCAATGGTTCTTTTGTCGACTTTCTCTCTGGAAGCTTTGTCTAATGCTGAAAGTGAGATGTTGAAGTCTCCAGCTATTACTGTAGGGGGTCTATCTCTTTCTTGAGCTCTAATTTGCTATATATATCTGAGTCCTGCAGTGTTGGGTGCATATATACTTGTAATTGTTATATCCTCTTTCCAAATTGACCCCTTTATTATTGTATAATGTTCTTTGTCTCTTTTCATAGTTTCTGTCTTGAAATCTATTTCACCTTATATAAGTATAGTTACTCCTGCCTTTTTTGTTTGTTTGTTTTGGTTTCCATGGATATGGAATATCTTTTTCCATCCCTTTATTTTAATTCTATGTGTGTCTTTATAGGTGAAGTGTGTTTCTTGTAGGAAACAGATCATTGGGTCTTGATTTTTTCATTGATTCAGCCACTGTATGTCTTTTGATTGGAGAGTTTAGTTCATTTACATTTAATGTTATTATTGTCAAGTAAGGACTTACTTCTGCCATGTTGTTATTTGTTTTCTGGTTGTTTTGCAGTCTTTTCTTCCTTCCTTTCTGTCTTCCTTTTTGTGAAGGTGATTTTCTCTGCTGGTAAGTTTTAATTTCTTACTTGTTACTGTATTTGTTATAGATTTTTTTTGACTTGAGATTATCACGAGGCTTGCAAATAACATCTTATAACCCAGTATTCTAACCTGATGACAACTTATCACTGGTTGCAAAAGCAAACAAATAAGTAAAGAGAAAACTAATAAAAACTACAGTTTAACTTCATTCCCCCACCTTTTAAACATTTTATTGTTTCTATTTCTGTCTTATTATATATACCATCTATATCTTGGCAAGTTGTTGTAATTTTTATTTTTGATTGATTCATCTTTTAGTCTTTGTACTCAAGATATGAATTGCTCACACGTGACAAAATGTTATAATGTTCTGTGTACTTACTATTTTTTTTTTTTTTTTGAGACAGAGTTTCACTCTTGTTGCCCAGGCTGGAGTGCCATGGTACCATCTTGGCTCACTGCAACCTCCGCCTCCTGGGTCCAAGCAATTCTTCTGCCTCAGCTTCCCAAGTAGCTGGGATTATAGGTGTGTGCCACCACAGCCAGCTAATTTTTGTATTTTTAGTAGAGACAGGGTTTCTCCATGTCAGCAAGGCTGGTCTCAAACTCCTGACCTCAGGTGACCCACTCACCTTGGCCTTCCAAAGTCCTGGAATTACAGGTGTAAGCCACCATGCCCAGCTGTGCACTTACTATTAGCGATAAATTTTGTACCCTCAGATGATGTCTTTATATTCATTATCACCCTTTTATTTCAGTTTTAAAGAGCTGTCTTTAGCATTTCTTGTAGGACACGTCTGGTCTTGGTGAAATCTCTCAATATTTGTTTGTCTGGAAAGTCTTTCTTTCTCCTGTATGTTTGAAGGATATTTTCACTGGATATACTATTCTATAATAAAAGTTTCTTTCCTTCAGTACTTTAAGTATATCATGCCACTCTTTCCTGGCCTGAAAGATTTACACTGAGATGTCTGCTGCCAGATATGTTAGAACTCCTTTTTTGTTATTTGTTTCTCTTCTCTTTTATTTAGACTTGACCTTTGGGAGTCTGATTATTAAGTGTCTTGAGGTAGTCTTCTTTGGGTTAAATCTGCTTGGTGTTCTATAACTGTTTTTTACTTGAATGTTGATATCTTTATGTTTGAAAAGTTCTCTGTTATTACCCCTTTTAATAAACTTTATACCCTGATATCTCTCTACCTTCTCTTTAAGGGCAATTCTTACATTTGTACTTTTGAGGTTATTTCCTAGAGCTTGTAGGTGTGCTTCATTCTTTTTTATTCTCTTTTGCCTTCTCTATTTTTAAATAGCTTGTCTTCAGGCTTACTGATTATTTTTTCTGCTTGATCGTTTCTGCTGTTGAAAGACTGATGCATTCATCAGTGTTAATTGAATTTTTTCAGCTCCAGAATTTCTTCTTGATTTTTAAAAATTATTTTAATCTCTTTGTTAAATTTGTCTGATAGGATTCTAAATTCCAATATTGAATTGTTTTGAGCTTTCTCAAAACAGCTATTTTAACTTCTCTGTCTAAAAGTTCACTTACCTTTGTCACTCTGGGATTGGTCTCTCATACCTTATTTAGTTTTTTTTATGAGGTTATGTTTTCCTGAATGGTCTTGATGCTTGTGGATGTTTGTCAATGTCTGGGCCTTAAGGAGTTAAGTATTCATCGTTGTCTTCACAATTTGGGCTTGTTCATACCCATCCTTCTTGGGAAGGCTTTGCAAATAATCAATGGGAATTGAATGTTGTTATCTAAGTCTTTGGTCTTTGCACCTGTTTCTACATTAGGGGGCATCCTAAAAACCCGGTAACATTGTGACTCTTGCAGATTCACAGAGGCACCACCTTGGTCATCTTAGGTAAGATCTGGGTGAATTCTCTGGATTACCAGGCAGAGACTCTTGTTCTCTTCCCTTACGCTTCCCCAAGTAAGCAGTCTCTCTCTCTGTGCTAAGCTACCCAGGGCTGGGGATGTGGTGATGCAAGAACCCCTGTGACCTCCACCTCTGAGACTGTGCTAGGTCAGATCTGTAGCCAGGACAGTACTAGGTCTCATCCAAGGCCTGTGATGTTTATTTTCTGGCTACCACTCATGTCTTTTTATAACTCAAGAGCTCTTTAATCAGCATGTGGTGAATCCAGCCAGGCTTGTATCTTTCCTTTCAGGGCAGTGAGTTTCCTTCTAGCTCAGGGTGGGTCTAAAATCTTACTAGGAGCCAGGGCCTGTAGTTGGTAGCTTTAGAAATCTGCTTGGTACTTTATTTTACTGTTCCTGAGGTGGTACCCACACCCAAGTTGCAAGACAAAGTCCTTTTTACTCTTCCTTCTCTGTTTCTCAAGCAGAAGGAGTCTCTCCCCAGGGCCACCAAATCTGGGAATGTGCTGGGTCACATCTGAGGCTAGAATGGCCCTGGCTCTTCAGTCAGCAGGTGATGAATTCTGTCAGTACTAAGTTCTTCTCTTCAAGGCAGCAGGTTCCCTTCTGGCCCAGCATTTGTCTAGAAATATCTGAGAGATAGGGCCCGGATGGAGGCTTTAGGAGTCTGCTTGATGGTTGATTTTAATATGCCTGGGCTGCTATCCAGGTTGCAAGTTAAAGTCGTCTGTATTCTCCCCTCTCTTCTCCTAAAGTAGAAGGAAATAGTCTCTCCCAGAGCTGCAAGCTATGCTTCTGTGGGTTGGGGGAGGGAAGACACAAGCAATCCCTTGGTTAGTCCAGCTGGGCTGCTGAATTATGTGCCCCCTGCCCAAGTTCACTAGCTCTGAGCCCAACACAGCACCAGCACTTGCCTTGCAATTGTACTCCTTTTGGCTTAGACTCCCTTTCAAGTTTATTTAGGACTCCTAGCACGTTGTTGGTGCTAGCTGGGACACAGGTTCCAACCACTGGGATGGACAATTTCCCTCTGGCTAGGACTGGTCTAAATACTCCCTCCATGGGCACTGGCTGAGTTCTGTCCCATGTTGTTTTCTGCTATGACAGGGCAGGACTTAGTTCTAATATGAAGTCCCACAATCACTTTGCTCTACCTCAAGCACATAGAATCTCTCCCCACACCATGTGGCCACTGCCAAGGGATGGGAGATGGGTGGTGTTAGCAATTCAAGACATTTTTCCTATCCTCTTTAGTACCTTTTTCTTTGATATGATGTTAACACCGAATACTCTGATTGCTCACTTGATTTTTGGTTCTTACCAAGGTGTTTTCTTGTGTGGATAGTTACTCAATTTAGTCTCCCTACGGGGAAGATGGTCATTGGATGATTCTATTCAGCCATATTGCTCTGCCTCCCTGGCTCTTAATTTTTTTATGATGAATCCTATCAAGTTATAGCTATGTAGAATGTACTTAAACCTGAATAGTTATTAGCACACATCTGATCCCTAATCTGGAATAAAAAAAATTTTTCTCTGACAACTTCAACCTGCAACTCTAATCAGTAGAAATATAAGGGGCAGAGTAATAATTGAATTGGATACAGCCTTATTTGGAGGTTGGATTTAGTGGCTATGGAAAATAATGTAATTTTAAAGTACATCCTTGTATTCCCACCTGCCCTACCCAATTCTCTTCTGTCCTCACTACGTATGCAGTGCAAACAGAAAGGATAGCCTCTTTCACAGACTAGGAAAGAGGTCTTGCCTACTGAGCTACTCTGTCTAGTTGGGTATGGTAATCTCAAAGGTGAAGGATGGTCAAATACTTCAAGGAGTAAGGTGGATGTAATATTTTAGTTCCATCCAGTTAGCCCCACTAATACGGGTAATCTTAAGAGTTTAAAGACATAATTGGCTGGGCATTGTGGCTCACACCTGTAATCCTCGCAGTTTGTGAGGCTGAAGGGGGTGGATCACCTGAGGTTAGGAGTTGGCTAACCTGGAGAAACCCTGTCTCTACTAAAAATACAAAAATTTGCTGGGTGTCATGACGTGTGCCTGTAATCCCAGCTACCCGGGAGGCTGAGGCAGGAGAATCGGTGGAACCTAGGAGGCAGAGGCTGCAGTGAGCAGAGATTGAGATACAGCATTACAGTCTAGGCAACAGAGTGAGACTCTGTCTCAAAAAAAAAGAAGAGTTACAACCAAGCTGTCTGCTTGCAACTGGTTGATTACTCAATTCTACCACGAGGAAGAAATTATTACAAGGTATTGGAAAACCTCACTATATTATTGTAAATGTACATTCTCAAAAAGGCAGTTTTCTGTTAAGAAAATCTGGTTTATAAATTCCGTATTTCTGTATTGACCTAACTTCAACTAAACAACAAAATAGCATTTGAGTTTTTATTTTCACTCTGTTACAGTTGCAAAACAAAGCATGTAATTTTTAGAAAACTACACAAGCATAAAATCTAGAAATACAGCATATATTTATCATACCTGGGTAGAAAATACATTTTGGAAAGTGTGTTTAAATAATAACATACTCTCCCAAATCTCTAATCTTTATACTTTTCCTTTAACTCCTTTATCCTCCAGAACACAACTCAGAGAAGGTCAGAATGTGTAAGAATCTGTTTATTGGATACCTTCAAAGTCACTAAAGTACCTCCTTTTGTCCCTAACAAATGCTAATGGTATTGACATTCAGTTGGCTTTTCTTTTTCTTAGTGTTATCTTCTTCCTTAGGCAATTTGCTGTGTCATCTCATTATATTCATGGCTTGAAAAAGGAACCTAGTTCTAAAGCTTGAAGTGGTTTATTGATCCTAAAAGATGAGGTAATTCACTGTCCAACATAATTCAAGCCTTCAAAGAACAAAACAATCAACTGTGCTTCTCATGAAATAATCAGGAAGAGAAGGCTCAAAATTCAAAATAGCATTGCTGAAGCATCCTCACAATAATTTATTCAGATCAAAATTCAATCCTTAAAATCTACTTTGAATCACTCTCATGATGTATCGCCTTAAGGAACAGTAAGATTCCTCCATTTGTATAACACTAGTAATGATTGCTAATTGTCCTAATAATGCTATCTACATCTGGTTAATTCCTATAATTGTACCTCCTACCATGTGATTAATGTCAGGAATGGGGAATTTTATGCATTATATTTCTTCTTAAAGGTTACACCCTGGAAACCTGGGATGTCACCTAATATAAGATTAACAAAGAATGACCAAACAATAAAAGGAATCATCCATTTTTTAAATGACCAAGAGTAAACCAAATTATAATTTTGTTTTAGAAACATGAGAATACATATTTATGGTTGAGATAGGCAGCCCTTACATGGAATAGTGAATCTTTTTTTAAAGCTCTTTGGAAGAGATCATCAGAAAAGATGTGATTACTTTTCTTTATGTGATCTCAGCCCCCAGATATTTTTTCCACAAATATTTCTTTGGGTAGAGATAGTTTTGTGCTTCAGAAGCTAATAAAAATAGATTTTTGAACACTTACTACCTGACAGTCACCATTTTTGGAAATTTACTAGTATCATCTCATTTTGTTCTTATAGCAGATACTATGTACTATCTGAATTTTATTGATAAGGAAACTGACAAAGAGAGCTTAAATAAGTTGCTCAACATCTTGCAGGTAAGAAGTGGTAGTGCTGGGATTTGGTTTCATTGTCCTACTCTCTTTTAAACCATGCAGTTTAATACAGATAATTTTTTGTAGATCTGCATTTTTAAAAAGGCCACTGTTAGCTTGGACAGCCCATTCACTGAACATTTTTAAAACAATAGCTGTACACCATTAGAGCTGGGCAATTCTAATTTATTAATTTTACTGATGAGAAAGTTAATGCTCATAAGGGTAAGGTACATATCCAAATGTCCAACATCCGGCCACCCGTGGCTTAAAATCTAGTGTTCCCATTGACCACACTGTCACCAATATACCCTCACCAAGTAAATCTTTATTAAGATAAAGATTGCAAGTTTGCAGTACTTATTAATAATATATATCTTTTGTGTAAAAATTATCTCCAAGCATAATGTCACCTCGTGTCTTATAGCATGTTTTATAATGCAATACACACACACACACACACACACACACACACACATATACACACACACATACGGGGTTTTTTCTTTTCCTGATTTTTAACTTCTCTGAGGAGAACATAAGATAAAATTCTTCTTATGTCCTTCAGGAGTAAAGGCAATGATTAACTCTTGTTCAAAAGGTCATATTTGTATTATTTTAGATATTACTGTATGTTTTAAATAATGTTAGCATGTTTCAGTTTTTGAAGCCTTCAAGTCAGTGACAGTGTGCGTGTATATATATAGGTGTGTGTGTGTGCTTATATGTTATATTATTGTGGATTGGGCACATGGTACAATGAAAAATACAGGCACAGCAATAACTGGCTTGGAGTTTCTTACCCAGGGAGTTTTGACCTTTAGGTAAGAAAGGACCACATACATCAAAAAGCATTCCTCAAAGAAAATGTTAATATGTAAAATCCTGATATGAGGTGAATTTTCATTAAATTGTTTAAATTTTTAATCCAATTGAATTCGCAATGATGGTATTTTATGGTGCATCTTACGTCCCGTCTTTTATTTATGCAGTACCAATTATTGTGTTCGGGGAGTTATTTGAAACAAGATGGAAAATAGAAGTAAGATTCAGCCTGTTTCCTGTGGGTTATAATCTAGTAGAGAACTAGACAAGACAAAAATAGTGGAACTAGAGAATGGTTCAATGCTTTAAGGGAAAAAAATGCAAAAACAAATTACTGTAGCAGTTGACAGGAAGGAATGGCATTTGCTGAAATATATTAAGTGCTGACTGTGTGCTTGGGTTTTCATGAGAGGCCACTGAATCCTGCCCTGATCCTACCCTTAGCTCAGACTGGATTCAGAAATAGAAAGGAGTAGCAGATGCCTGCCAAACTATCACTGCTTTAAATGACAGAGACTAAATTGTGGAAGTTATAACATGAGAGGGGTCTTCTCCTACTCTCCTCGAGCTAAAACCCCACTCTCAAGAAGAAAAGCAGAGGAGGTGAGTTGTCCTGTTTGTTCTTCCTAAATTCACTCCTTTCTGGTAAAAAAAAGAAAAAAGAGAGAGAGAGAGAACATGAAATAGAGAGAGAGAGAGAGAACATGAATTACACAAAGCTAAACACTAATACAGCTTCTATAATAAAATGGGTGTGGAAAGCCAAAGCAATTAAAGGGCATCATCATCATCATCATTATCATTAACATCAGCAGCAGCATCAGCAGCAGCCTCGTGGAACTGTTAGACAATAAAACCTATTCTAGGTTGGCATGCATGACATGGGCTTTTGTTTAGTTAAAAAAGATGTCATACAATCTTCAGTATATATCGCTGTTCAAGTTCCTGTATTGGTCATCCTGGCTCCCCAACATTTGATCTCTTGTTTATTGTTCTGACTGAACACCCTAAGTACCCCCTCTGAAACATAATATTTTTTTCTATCTGGGAGAGGATGCTTAAGAGAATGAGTCAGTGCCTTACTCTGCTCATACTGACAGATGTTAGAAAGTAGCTCAGGCTGGCAGAAAGAGCCCATAACCAGCTGTTTCATAGCCTATAATTACAGCCTTAATAAATGAATCATTTCCTTCAGCTGGCATTATTGGGATCTAAGCGTAGCATTTTTCGTGTTAGGAGTTCTGGAAGCATTTCACTGCTTGCTGATATTTTAGCATGGAGGGCTGAGAAATCAGGTAGCTAACAAAAATCACCCTGATTGTATATAAAGTATATGCAAGTTTTGTGGCTGGTGGTGAGCTCGTATGAGAAAGAGAACTCATCAAGTCCTTGGTAATGTAATTGGCTTAACTTTTTAGGCTATAGCTTAGAATATAAAAATCAAACTATAAAACATAATCTTCTGTACAGTGTGCTAATTAACCAGCTGGGCCATCTTTTATAGTCTTAATTTTACAGATTTCCTTGAGGATATAATCTAGTTTGGTGACTCAGAGCTGTTATCTCCCTCCTGCTAAGACTTAATAGTCATGGCTCCTGTTTTTTTTTTTCCCCCCTCAGGATATCAGAGACTTCATATTTGTTTCTTTTGTTAGATGATATCCTTTTCACATAGGAATTGCATTGTGAACATTGATATTAGACATTGTATTATAAAATTCCAGATTTTTCTATGTCTACCTGCACAATTTTTTCTCTGTGGTGATTGATGGTTATATTTCAGAATAATGAATCATATTTCAGAACAATCATCCCAGAGTGAAATAGAGGAGACAGAAATAAGTAGCAACAAGGGGTAGATTGAAGATAGGAATATGGGCTTGGTGCAAAGACAGAGATGAAGTGGGAGATCAATTAGCTGCCCGCTTCTTCAAAATAAAGCAATGTGAGATGTGAAGAGGGGGAATGAGCAATAAAAATCAGCTCTCTTTCAAGCCTTAAGCTTGCAAAGCAATCCAGTCAGGGAGACAAATAAACCAATACAAACAAAAAGAAGCCTTACAGTAACTTTTTTGATGATAAAGATAGTATATGCTTGATATAGGGCATTCATAAAATATAAAGAAAAAAATTACCTAGAGATCACCATTGTGAATATTTCTTCCTTTTTTTTAAGTTGTACACTTAAACTCATTGTGACTATTTCTATGTATTTTCTAACAGCCTTTATTCTACTGAAAATTTTCTTTTCTACTCGTAACCATTTTTTGTATGTAATTTTGTGTTCTCCTTTTTCACCATTATACCATAAACATTTTAAGTCAACATAAATCTTCTGAAAACATCTGTATGACTTTTATTGCTGTTTTTTCTGTCAATAAAATTTACACACATAGAAAAATTTAGAAAATAAAAGCTACTGATGCCATTGATAATTTAAATGTGCATACATTTATGGGAATCCCATAATCTACATATAACATGTATGTGATCACATTATCTTTATTATTTTGTGATATACTTTTTGTTACTTAGCAATATATCGTGGATAGCTTTCATTTCTCTGCCTGTCTTTCTTTCTCTATGTATATACATGCCTTATTTTAATAAATACATAGCATTCCATTATGTGGGTATTCTATAATTGATTTAATCTATCAGATACTATTGGCCTTTCATATTGCTTCCAGATTTTACATGTAATTATGCAATATGTCTATACACATATTTTGCCATTCTTTAGTTTCTTTTAAAAAAATACATTTTTTAGAATCCGCAAATTTGCACCAATTAACAGACTTCCCACTAATCCTTTTTGCATACCATAGTAATGAGTAATTCCTTTAATTATATTCAATTTAATAGGCAGATGATATCTTACTTTAATGTTTATTTTTTATTATGCATACTGATATTTAAACTTTTTGATTTTTAATATAGTTTAATATCTTTGATTTTAGTATAGTTAGTACATATTTATATATTAAAGTTTCTTTTTTAAGTGGCCTAATTTTTAATTTCTCATTTTTATACAAGGAGCTAAGTCACATTTTTATTATTTATAATTGTTATTTTACTGACTACACGATATCATGTATACTTAGCATGACGTATAAAAGAGACTTTTTCTGTTGCATCTGTATTTTGGCTAACGCTTCAAAGTTGAGAATGATGAGGATAAGTATCCTCATGATTTTAACAGAGGTACTGGACAGCATATACACCTTTCAGGATCTGAGTGTTTCAGAGACCCATTCATCACCACTAATGGCACCCAGAGATTCATTTTTGATTTACTAAGATAGAATAGTTAGAGAGGAATTTGCAAAGAGAAAACTGTTCTTTCTCCTTCCCTTCCAATCCTCAAGCAAAATGAAGGCAATACCAAGAGTGCTTGACTGCACCCCTGAAGTTGTGGAGCACAGATAATAGAAAAGGCTGGAGGCAGGAGCAGGCTGGAGCAACCACAGAGGCAGAGCCAAGAGACAGGGTGGTAGGAGAGTGTGGCTAATGTGTCTGGCGTGGGGTGAGGTGATTTGGAAGGTTTCCCTAGAGGCAAATGGTAGACAACCATGTCATCTCGTGTGATCTCCCCATGGTGGCAAGTCAATTTTCCAGTTCCTCAGGCCCCAAATCTTGGAGCCACTCTTGACTCCGTATCTCTCCTGTAGACTACATCTAATTTAGCTCCCAGTCACCTCTTTCGATGTTACTCTGTAATCCAAGTCACCATCATTTCCAGTTCAAACTAAAATCGTTGTTGTATGTTTGCCTCACTTCTTCCCCTGATTAGTTTTAACACTGCTGAGTGGTTCTTTTAATGTTTAACTTGAATTATATCACAGCTCTTGTTCAAAACTCTATTTCCAGTGGCTTCATGTCTTAAAAGCAAAGTCTTAAAATTGGCTTATAAGGTTCTATGTCCCCATACATATATTTGTTCCTTTATGAGCTAATTTCCTAGCACTTTTCCTCTTCTCAGTGGGCTACACACAGGGCACTGCTCATTCAGCCTTCAGCTTGCCAAATGTGCACACACCCCAGGGCCTTTGCACTTACTGTCTCCTCGGCCTGGAACATGTGTCCCCAATATACCTATACTTACTCCGCTACTATATTCAGGTAGCATCTCTTAGGCCACCTTTCAGAAAGTTTTTCCCTGGCCATGCTTGATATTAGCATTTCCTTCAGTCACCTGATATCCCTAAATTCCATTTTATTTTTCCGCCAGACGCTTGCCATGTGACTTCTTTTTATGTGCCTCTTTGCTGTTTTAGTCTACCATTAGAATCTGAGCTGTTGGAGAACAAGGAGTTTGTCCATCTTGTTTTCTTTGTCTTGTCACTACAGGCTACTATAGAGCAGAACACAGAGCAAGTATTCAATAAATATATGTTGAATAAATGATGGATGCTTCTGATTCAGAAGCAATAATTTTTCCTCAGGTATGCTTTTTTCTCTTTTTTAAAATGTTATTTTTTAGTCACTTAATACTCATGGCCAGGCATGCTGGCTCACGCCTGTAATCCTAACACTTTGTGAGGCTGAGGCAGGTAAATTGCCTGAGGTCAGGAGTTTGAGACCAGTCCGGCCAACATGGAGAAATCCCCTCTCTACTAAAAACACAAAAATTAGCCAGGCATGGTGACAGGTGTCTGTAATCCCAGCTACTCAAGAGGCTGAGGCAGGAGAATTGCTTGAACCCAGAAGGCAGAGGTTGCAGTGAGCATTGCACTCCAGCCTCGGTGACAAGAGCATGACTTTGTCTCAAAAAAAACCTCATAAATTCCCGTTTTCAAGAAACATACTAATAGTAGTTGTTTAGTCTTCTCATGGCTAGAATAACTGGTATACGTATACCACTTAGGCATACTGGAGGTGTATTTAGTAATCTCCATTTAATGCATTAGTTAATACTGTAATATTTAAGATAATTTTGCACTCTTCTACAGTGTGCTTTTGTTATTTAATAAGCTTTCTTGTAAGCAGTTGTCTTAGTTTGCTGTTGTGTCTGCAACAAATTGCCATAAATGTAACACAACACAAATTCATTATTTTGCAGTGTTGGTCAGATGTCTGACGCTGGTTTCCATGGGCTGAGGTCATGGCAGTGGCAGAGTTGGTTCCTTCTGGAGGCTGTAGGGTAGAATCTGTTTTCTTGCTTTTCCAACATCAAGTGATCATCTACCTTACGTGGTTCATGGCCCCCTCCTTCATCTTCAGATCTGGCAGCGTGGCACCTGTGACCTAGCCAGTAAACGTTCTCTACTTTTAAGGATTTTGTGTGATTAGACCGGGTTCATCTGGATTATCTCTCCATCTCAAGTTCCTCAACACTAATCACAGCTGCAAAGTCTCTTTTGCTATACAAAGTAAGATATTCACATATCCTGAGGCCCAGGGTGTATCTTGGGGAGTGGGGACCTTAACTGGTCTGCTACAGAAGAAAAGAAAACATTGCTATCTCTCATGCTTGTCCCTACTGACCTCTAAGACTAATATCTTATTTCTCTCTTTTCCAAAACAGCTTTCTTTAAAAAAGATCACTATCTGTTCCCTCCATTATTCATTTCACTCTCACTTTTTGATCTCTTGTAATTAATATAACTTCAAATTCCACCAATATACTGAAAATATTCTCTCCAAGTCTGACATTGACCTCCTAATCACCAAATGTGTTTGTCTTTTGCCTCTGTGTATTAAAATTGGTCTCAGAAACTGATAGGCAGCTACACAGTTCCCATAACAACCAGGAAGAATGGAGCCTGATGGCTCAGGCCAGCCTACAGAACCCAAATGCCACTCCCTGTTGGGTAGAATTTACCCCTGACCCAGTAATAACCCACTCTTGTCCTCATGTAGAAATGTAGCTTGCTTTTCAAGTCATTTATTTCTCTTCCATGTGTTTGGAATTCTCTAGCATTATGCTCTTCCTCCAGAAGTTTGGCTTTTCTTGTGTAATGTTCTTTTTTAACATCCACCCATCTTTCTCACTGTGTTAACATAAAAATCTCAGCATCTTTGTCTTTCTGTTTTCCTGTCTTCTAAACAAGGTTTTTGATGCCTAAAGCAGGTGGCCCTTTTCTGTGAGGAATAATTCTGAGAAAAATGGCTTTTTCTAAGTTGCATACGTGCCTCCCTTGTTACCAGGTCACTCTGTTTGTTTAATCTTGCCCTCCTTGAGGACATCACTGAACAAAACCATAGCTTCAGGGCACTGCTCTGGAGACTTGCTATTGGGCCCTGAGTGAGGGTGACCTCTGGTGGACACAACTGATTCTTTTCCCCTGTCATGTGTTATTGCTGCTGTTTCTATGTTTATTTAAATTGTGGTTAACCATTTTTAAGTGTATGGATCAGTAGTGTACAGTCACATTTTTGTGCAGCCAATCTCCATAACCTGTTTCATTTTCCTAAGGTAAAACTATAATCCAGTAACAACTGTCCATCTCGCCCAGGCCCTGGCAACCACCATTCTACTTTCCGTCTTTATGAAATTGACTATGCTAGGAACTGTAAGTGGATCACACAGTGTTTGTCCTTTTGTGATGGGCTTATTTCACTTAGCTTAATGTCCTCAACGTTCATCTATACTGTAATGTGTCATAATTTACTTTCTTTTAAAGGCTGAGTAGTATTCCATTGTATGCGCAATACCACATTTTGTTAATCTATTCATCTGTGGATGGACTCATGTTGCTTTCACATTTTGATTATTATGAAAAATGTTGCTGTAAATATGGATGTACAAGTATCTCTGGAGACTCTGGTTTCAAATCTTTTTACTCTAGACCCAGAAGTGGAATTTCTGGGTCATCTGATAATTCTGTTTTTAAAAAAATTTTTTTTTGTTAAGACACAATGAATATACGTATTTTCATGGCACATGTCATAATTTGATACATTCTTATAATGTGTAAAGATCAAATCAGGGTAATTGAGATGACAATCATCTTAAATATTTATCTTTATGCTGGGAACATTTAAGATTTTCTCTTCCAGTTGTTTTGAAAGATACAATAGATTAATGTTAATTAATGTTAATGAGTTACCCTACTCATCTCTTGAACACTAAGTCTTATTTCTTCTATCTAACTGTATATTTTATCTAACTGTGTATTGATACCCATTAATCAACTCTCTTTATCTGCCCCTCCGCCTTTCCCACCTTTCTGGTTCTCTAGTAACCGCCAATCTACTCTCTGTCTTTGCAAGAAGTCCTAATCATAGATAGTTCTATTTTTATTTTTTTCGAGAACTGCTATACTGTTTTCCATAGCAGCTACATGATCTTACATTGGCATGAACAATGCACAGGAGTTTTGATTTCTTTTAACACTTCTTTTCTTTGTTTTTTTAATAGTAGTCATCCTAATAAGCATAAGGTGGTATCTCATAGTTTTGTTAGGGTTGCTGTGTTTTTCCCATTGTTTATTAATCATACGCCATGTGCCAAGAGCTTTTAACACTCATGACAATCCTATGATGAAGGCATTATTTTTCCAACTCACTGTTGAGGAAATGAAAGACTAAAGAAATTAAGTGAGGTATTAAGTAGTAGAACTGGGTCAAACTCAGGTCTGTTTATCTGAGGTGCATACTTTGAAAGATGATGCTCCCTTATATTCAGTGTACCTGTTTTGCTTTAGGTTTCTATCATATTCAATTGTAAAATTATTGAAATAATCTTTATTTTTTTTCTTCCTGTCACTAGAAATTCTATCTATTGCTCCCAGAGCTAGAATAATGATAAGGAGGTAAACTGCCCAGCATTTTGTGGACCAGTATCTCAGGGCTTTATTGTTCTTCTTTACCCATAGAGCTCATATTTATTAAGTGTCTATGTAATATACTATATTTGGCCCTGAGAACACAGCAGAATTGACAAACTAGATCTTTCTTAAAGCTCATATAGGCTTTTAATCTTGACAGTGACTTGCTGATCTACCTTGTGATGCTGTGCAAAGAAGTCATTTGGTTAGAAACCACTGAGGATTCTTTAATGGGGATCTTTGAATGTCATAGAGAGATGGACAAAAAGCAGGTATTGTACAGACTGAAGGTAGTTGGCAACATCTGGGACTTATCAGAGGCCAGCTCCCCACTTCCTACTGCCCACTTGGCCATCTTTTAAATTCTACATTCTTTTTCCTTAAGGGTCTCCTTATTTTCAAGATTCTAGTAACCACCTTTGTGCATGATTCTTTATCTCCACCTCTCCTTGATATCTCCTCCACCACTGGGGGCCTGTAAATATGTTACCTGCTTCACATTTTCTCTTGAAAGTCATGTTGTTCCTTCAGATTTCACAAGTTGAAAATTGGCTCATACTTCTGATATCTCTTTTCTATCAGTGTTACTTTATATTCACATGGGCTTCAAACGTTAAAGTCCTTTCTAATCTGTCTTAAGTCAACCAGCTACTCAGTGTTAGTAATTTGTCCTTGTTGATATTCTTTTGGTATTGAATCCCACTAACCAAAGATTAGAAGAAACATACTTGTTGTCAAGTAAAACTAGGATTATTTAACTTGCTGTGGCAAAGAACATTACTTTAGGAAAATCTCACAGGTGTTTCAGTGACGTGATATGGGATGGGCTTCCTACTGGGTTTGAGTTTGTAGTGGATGATTTTGAGGAAGGCTTAGGGAAGTGAAGGCCAGATCTTGAACCAGTGGCATTTAGTGATTGGGGGTCAATAATTTTTACCTAAAAGGTGAGAGATGTAAAAAATGCTAGAATTATCATTGATAAAATAAAAAACAAACAAAAAACTCTAGAAAACACTCAGAGAAAGATGAATCAGAGAAAGGTAAATTTAGCATTTTGTGGTCAGTGGCCTTGCCTAGGTCTTCCTCTGAACATGGTAATGCAGTAGACTGAGATTTGAGAATTTTCTATTTCCTGTGTGAACATCACAGTCTAGGTTCATTTTCTCAACAGGGATTTATTTTTCTTTCTTCCCTTACCTCCCATCCGCATCTGAACTTATTCTCTCCTGTCTGAACAATTGAAGTAGCCGTTTTACTTTCCCGTGCCTCTCTCGCTTTGCCCACTCCACTCTGTTCTTCACATCATTGCTGAGTCAATAAACACAACTTTGACCTTGTTACTCCTCTGCACAAAAGACTTCGTTGGGTTTCTGTTGTTTACAGAAAAAGTCCACAGTCATTATTTTGATACTCAAGGAAGTGCACACTCTATTTCCAATCTACCTTTTCAGGCTTCTTTCTCAGACCTCATTTATTTTTTAGTTTAATTTGAATGTAATATTTGCTTTCCATTTTTTATGCCAGTGAATGCTTGATGTGCTCTCTCTCTCTATATATATATGTGTGTGTGTGTGTATGTGTATGTGTATATATATTATATTAAAAATATGTATATGTATATTATTATATATAATATATACATTATTTTAATATAATATATATTTACATAATATATATTATATAAAATAATGTAAATATATATAATATATATTATTATATAAAAAACAGATCTATTTTTTCGGATGTCTTAGAACAGACTTGCTGAATATGAACCTTCAAGTCAGAGTGTGGGTAAGAGCAATTTAATTTTCATTTTCATTTTCTTTCTCTGTCTTTTTTTTTTTTTTTTTTTTTTTTGAGATAGGCTGTCACTCTGTTGCCCAGGGTGGAGTGCACTGGGGTGATCAGGGCTCACAGCAGCTTTGACCTCTCAGGTTCCCCCTGAGTAGCTGTGGCTATAGGCATGTGCCACCCAGCGTGGCTAATTTTTTATTTTTATTTTTTGTTAAGACAGGGTTTCCCTATGTTGTTCAGGCTGCTCTTGAGCTCCTGTTCTCAAGCAATACCCCTGCCTCAGCGTCCCAAAGTACTGGGAATAATGGGGATGAGCCATTGCACCTGGCTGCGATTTTGTTTTCTTAAGGTGATTGTGATGCAGATTGCTTATACACCACATTTTAGACTGCATTATTTTATGGTTTTGATCACACTGTTCCCTCTCTCTGGAAGGTGCTTCAATTGCTTGCATTGTCCACCCTTTAAATCCAGGTGACAAATCTGTCCCTAACTGCCAAAGCTTAGAGTCCCTCTGAATCTGACCTGTTATAGTATTTGTTACATGTATAATATTATTCCTTTTCTGTCTTACCCATTAGAGCTTGTAAGTGCTTTGGAGGCAAGAGCCTTGCCTGTTTTTCTTTCTATCTCTCATAAGTCCAAGAGAAGTCTTTTATAAATAGTAGGTGTTTAGTAAACCACAAAAAAGAGCAACATGGTTTACTGATACTCATTATTAAATTTGAATATAAAAATAATTTCAGTCAGTGGAATTGATGTTCCCTAATACTGATCTCCACTTCAAATTAATAATTTCTATATAACATTTAGTTAATTATTAAGGTCCTAATTTTAATTTTTAAAATTGAACCACATTGAGAATTAAAAAAAATCACTTGAGTAATTTTTAGTTTTTGAGACTTCTTATATTTTCATTTTAATATGTATGTTTTCAGACACAGAGAGAGAGAGAGACAGAGAGAGAGAGAGAAAGACTTTACTTTTATTTAATCTGTGTGCATTTTTATTATAAAAATTGAAACTCAGGAGATAAGGAATCTCATTTTATTGAAAAGGTATGCAAAGTTTACAAACTTTTCACACAACTTCTCTAAGAAATCTTATTATGTTTTGGGATTTCAACCTGGTTGATTTAAAGAGCGGTGTTACTAAAGATTCTTATCACGCTTCTTTCACTCTCAGTTCAATCCTAGCACCTTGGATTTAGAAAAATCGTTTTCCTTTCTCCTGGAAGGGGCTGGGGCTCTAAACACAACTGCCTTTGAGGCAATTATTTTATTTCCTTAAAGTGTAGATATAGTCTCTGCTACTACACAGAGTAAAGTGTAAAAATTTAATCATCCACAAGCCTTCTTTCTTATTTCCATGCCTATGAACCTATATAACAAAAATCCCTTACAGAAAACACATACAACATTCACTGTGGTCATGAATTACTCCAAACTGCTTCTCAGTCTGTGGATCTCAATGAAGCTGTAGAATTGGGTGTCCTGAAGGAGCAGAAACAGTTCAGTTGATTACTCTTCAGTCTTGCGTGCCATCTGCACTATTGGAGGCTTTGTGTTCACAACCTTATACACAGGCATCACTTAGACTCTATTGTCTAAGGTGTGGAGGGCTGACAGGGTGCAATTCAACTGTTCCCTGATTTGCACATTTAGACTGAGTGTTCAAAGCCACAGAGCATTGTCTTTGTTGATATACTCAGCCCTGCATTCTGTTAGGTGTTTTTGCTGGTTTTCAGAAGAAATTTCTTCAACATGCTCTTTTTTGTCAGGGAGTAAATAGACTACCTGTGGCAACAAAATTCAGAGATTGGGAATAGCATTCAGTGGTAGAGCATTCGACTGCTTATGGCGCAGAGAGACGAGCAATCCCCAGCACACCTGAAGTGCTGGTGCATCCCCACTCTGCTCCCTCATGACTGTGCTCACACAAGCCAGCACACCTAGTGGCATCTGGTTATTGCCCTAAGACCTCCTTACCTCTCTTCTTTGATTATCTGTAAAACATGTAATAGATGAATGAAAGAATAAACACTTGGATATAAAAGATATGTTTGTTTCCATGACCAAAAAGTTTGTGTATAATTGAATCAGTGGCTTTTTGACCCCCCAATTAAACAACATGTAGTACAAGAAAAATCAAGGAACCATTTCACGTTGAAGGTGAACTTGTGAAAAGAGAAGAAAAAGAGAAGGTATTGATGTAGCACAAACAGCATGAAGGGCATTAGTGTTACTTACTCAACCTTAACAGGGACTAAGTTCTGAGAAAAGTCAAACAGATGTTCTGTCTTGTAAGGGATGTTATAGATATCTAGTCTGATTCTCAACCCTCATTGCATATTAAAATTATGTAAGAAATGTTGGTATTAACTTGTTATTGAAGTATAACAGGTACACATCATGAGTGTACAGCTCAATTATTGTATTAGTCTGTTTTGTTCTCACACTGCTATAAAGATATACCTGAGACTGGGTAATTTATAAAGGAAAGAGGTTTAATGGACTCACAGTTCCACATGGCTGGGGAGGCCTCAAAATCATGGTGGAAGGTAAAGAAGTAGCAAAGTCACATCTAGAGAGCATGTGCAGGGGAGCTCCCCTTTATAAAACCATCAGATCCCATGAGACTTATTCACTATCATGGGAATGACACAGGAAAGACCTGCCCTCATGATTCAATTACCTTACCGAGTCCCTCCCACAACACATGGGAATTATGGGAGCTACAATTCAGGCTGAGATTTTCAGCCAAACCATATCAATTGTTAAAAACCACAATTTCTTTTGTACCAACGTAATTTTCACAAGGTAAATATGCCCCTGTAACTATCAACAGACTGAGAAATAGAGCATTTCTAGCCACCAGAAGCCCCCATATATTTTCTTGTCATTACATTCTCCACATAAGTAACCCTTGTCTTGACTGAATACCGTAAATTATTTTTGCTTATTTTTGAAATTTATATGTGTGGCATAATAGAGTATTATGCTTTTCTGTGTCAGGCCTTTTATTCTTTTCTGTCCAACACAATGTTTGTGAAATTCTGCAAGTATCAGTAGTTCACTCCTGGAAAACATTCTCATTGTTGTCCAATACCCCATTTATGAAGATGCCACCATTTATTTACCTATTCTACTGTTAATGGACATGTGTTGACTGCAGTTTTGGGCTACTGCAAACAGGGCTGCCATAAATATTATTTTCTAAATATTTTAGTAAAAATATGTAAATATTTTGTGGGGCATATACTCAGGAATGGAATCACTGGACCTGGTCCATGAGTATGTTCAGTTTGGTGTGCACAGCTACTTGTTTTCCAAAGTAGTCATACTAATTTACACTCAAATTCTAATTGCCACATGCTCCTGCCCACCTAGAAACTTTAAAAAATGCCAAAACTCAAGCTCCATTCAGGCTCCATCCTAGAACAATTAGATAATAATTTCTCAGGGGAAGGACTAAGAACTGGCATTTAAAAACTCCCTAGATGGCACTAATGTGCATCAGGGAAGAGAACCAAAAATTGTAAGTATTTAGGTGCGGTAACTAGGGTATGAAGAGATGAAATGATTTGCCCAAGCCACCCCAACAATGAGAGGATCAGGGCTAGATGCCAAGTCTGACTCCTGCCCCATGCCTTTTCTTCCCAGCTGGTCTCATTTGGACTTACTTCCTTACTATGCCATACTCATATTGTGAAAATGAACTGTGGCTTGGCCTATACTTGAGCACTTTTTTTGTTTACAAAGAAGTTTTTTTTTTAGGCTTTGTTGGGTAGGTAGAGCAGTTATGCAGGACTAACTACATCATTTGTGAGATCTAATGCAAAATGAAAATGTGAGGTTTCTTGTTCAAATATGATTAAGAATTTCAAGACCGTAAGAACAGACATTAAATCAAGCATAGAGCTCTTCTAAGAGCGGATCCATGACTGATTGCACAGAATGCACATTTGTAAAACTGGCTCCATAGGTGTTATTACAGTATTTGAAAGTTACAGATGAAAAAGTAAGGTTTGGTGACTTGGTAAGAGGTTCAGTTATGAGTTTAAACTGGACCGATGATGCCTGCTTTGGCTTTCTGACATATATAATAGGTATGTTCTTCTTCTCTAGGATTTTAAAAAATAAAATGAAAAAAATGATGTAGATTAATTGCAAAATGCATACAGAGGAAGAAAATTTGAAATAAAAAGGAAGGAGGGATCATTTGGCAAAAGGAGTACAGAACACCTTTTGGGAAAATGATATACAACTAACTGCAATTAAAACTGACACTTGGGATCCTTGCCTATGCACTGTTTCTGGACATTTCTGCTCTTTTTCCCTGAGACATTTGGCTGATAAACTCCATCCAGATGTTTGGACCCTCCCAATAGATACCTTCATAAGCTTAGTGTTGGGAATGGTTGAAAAAAAAAAAAACAAAACAAAAAAAAAAAAAAACATGGAAAAATGTACTTGCTGGAGTCAAAATCTTTTAATAAAACAAGGAAACATGAGGAAACTCTCGAATAAGCATGGAGTTGGAAACAGAATTGTAAGAAGTAACTCTCAATTGTACATGTGTGTGACAAAGTAAGAATATTGAAAATCTACCCTAATTGTCTCCAATGTTCCTCTTCATGCTATCCCCTCGATATTCTTACAAGCCTATGACAAACTTCAAAAACTAGAGATAGGTTGTTATCAAGGAGCTACATTATCAGATATCTATTTCCATGAGGAGAGGTAATTTCTTATCAATTCTGGTACTTTGAAGTTTCCTTTTACCTCTTTTTAGTTGTTTAGGGATATTTGTGAATGGCAAATAGTAATCTGTAACTAATACTCCTTTCCTTAAAATGGGCTGTTTTCTTATGAGTGGCTCCAATTGAATTGGCTTGTCTTCTGAAGACATGCAAAGGCATTTCTGACTTTGGCTCCTTTGGTACACCAGACTCTTGCAGCTCTTCCGTCCCACAAGAGTGAGGACTCAGGAGTCAGAACTTAGGACTTGAGCCTAAGCCACCAGATACTTGAGTTGCGGGGTCTGATGAACCTTTAAAAAAAAACATGTATCTTTCTTTGCCTTCATTTTCTTTGTCTATAAAATGGGGATGTTATGGACTAATTATGTCCTTTCCATCACCCCAAATCCCTATGTTGAAGACCTAACCCCTAGTACCTCACAATGTTGCTGTTTTTGGAGATAGGGGCTTTAAAAAGGTAATTAAGATTAAATGGGGTTGTTAGGGTGGGACCTACTCCAATATGACTTGATTTCTTTTTATGAAGAGGAGATTAGGACACACATGGTCACAGAGGGAAGACCGTGTGAAGACAGAGGAAAAGGGCATAAATCTATACACCAAGGAGGAAAACCTCAGAAAAAATGAACCCTATTGACACCTTGATCTTGGAATTTCAGGCTTTACAACTGTGAGGAAATACATTTCTGTTGCTTAAGCCACCCAATCTTTGGTACTTTGTTATTGGAGCCAGAGCTAAGACAGAGGGTGACCTCATAACACTCGCTTCAAAGATCGTTTTGTGGAATAAATGAAATCAGCATGTTGGTTAACTGTCAAGTGTAGAGTAGATGTTACTCCTATAGCCATTAACTATTGCTTTTCCATGTAGTACACATGGTTTACCTGTCCCCTTTGCTCTCTTCATCTTCCCACTGTCCATTTCTGCCTTTAACCTACAGCATGGCTCCTTAAGAAAAGATGATTTAATTCAAAAGTGAAAGAGCCACATCAAATGTTTCTCCCTCTGTGTTTATTTGTTTATATTTTAAATCTAAACAAGTAGCCTCATGTGTCCTTTTCCTTGTTGAGAAGTCAAATCCCAAATATACACCCAGATGTAAATGTGCTCCTGGGGTCTGATATCTCATCTCTGAGCCACATCTGTTTTTCCATACTCCCAACTCTCACCATTCATACTAAACAGAAATAGAATAGGGCAGATGAATACTTTCAGGGGTAATCCCCCAATAGCCATTTTCTCTTTTGCTAGAGGACTATTTTTCTTGTTATCTAACTAAAATGCCCTCATTTTATCCAACTGACTGTGCTAATATTACCCTGAGAATACTTAGTATTTATAGAGCAGAATCCCCCTAGAAGCTCAAAGTTCTATATAAATATTGTCTCATTAAAAACTCATATCTTCCCATATATTAGGTTGTTGGCTGCTGTGATTTCTCCAATGTGCAGATGGAGAAACGGAGGGTGGGTGACTTCTGCAAATTCAGAAATGCTGGGAGGGAAATATGGAAAAGCAGCACCTTCTCAGTTTTAGTGATAAAGCCTCAGGCTAGCTCCTCAGATTTTCACAGGCTGAAAAGCATTCAGCACAAAGCCATCTGACTGTGTTTTGATGAGGACTTAGAACATTATAAACATCATTATCCTTGCTTTTCCCTTGAGAGTAGGGCACAGAGCTTTAACAGATAAGGACTGAAAGGTACCTGTAAAGTCTTGAAAGTAGGATTTAGATGTTCTAGTTTTTTCCTGGTTACTGAGATAGCTGTTGATCACTGCTGGTTTCTTCAGCTCACTTTTGATAGTCTCATTTCTGAATCAATATCATCAGCAATTCCTATAGCAGCCCTACAACAGCAAGGTCCCATCCTATAAGAGTAAGTCCCCCTACAATCTTTGATCTGCTGATTTTTTGTTTTGGTCTAGTCAGCAAACTCCTAATTCAGGAGTGTACTCCCACATCTATCTTTCATTCTTTTAGTGTATTGGTCTTTGTCTTTATTTCCTCCTCTGAATATCCTGCTTGGGTTAGTTACATGGCTGCAAAAACTAATAGGCTTATCAAATGACAGAGAATTGCTAATAAAAATTGCCTAATAAAATATACATTATTAATAACACAGAATGCCCATATGGCTGTGCCATAATGCAATGGAAGACAGAGACCACATATAAAGGGGCTGTCAAGGTCAAGATTGCTTCTGCCTCAGCACCTAATTGGTTAATGGAAGCAGCAGTGGAGACAGTATGCAAAAGCAGTCCAAGGCTGAGGATAAGCCAGAGGGGAACTG